TGGGGAAGTAGCAGAGAGAGAGAGAGGGAGAGAGAGAGAGAATCCCAAGCAGGCTCTGCACTGCCTGTGCAGAGCTCGATATGGGGCTCGAACTCATGAAACCGTGAGATCATGACCTGAGCAGAAACCGAGAGTCAGATGCTTAACTGAGCCACCCAGACGCCCCTGGGGGATTCTTCTGATGGCAGGCTGGGGGCCCAGACCCCAAATGTGACCACAGGAAGGGGAAGGCAGAGCCAGGAGAGATTGGACACAGGGAGGTCAGGAGTCGGGCAAGGGAGAAAGTGCCCTCCATTGATCTGTTTGTAGCCTGGGTTCCCGGGCACTGTTAGGCTGGCCCTGACGTCAAAAGCCTGGGTCTGGGGTGGGGGAGAGGAGAAGATGGGAAGTGGGGAGCGGGCTCCTCGGGCCCTCACTCACAGCAATCACGATGTCCCGCATGTGAGGGAATTCCTCGGGGTGCAGGAAGGCAGTCAGCTCCTCACGAGTGGCCATTGAGTCCCCGTCCTGGTCCGCCACCCGGAAACGCCGCTCATCACGAGCCATCATCTTCTTGTAGGTTTCGGCGTCCTCTACGTCATGAAACTCTTCACCTGGGGAAGGGGGATATCTCGGTCAGGTGTGCTTTAATGGAGGGAATACGAGGCTGGTTGAGGGAAAAGCCAAAGGGATCCAACTCAGTGGAGTCAGGGCAGGAAGACCTCACAGAACCCATAATAATTAATAGAGATTCATTATTTGTATATAGTGTCTACCTTGCAGTGAGAGCTTATTATATGCTCTTTACCTACAAAATTGCATTTAATTCTCACCCCCACCCACCCCCACACACAAGTAAAAGGAATTCTTTCATTTATTCTCACTTTATGAAGGAGAAAATAGATTCCCACAGAGAGGAAATAAGTGGCCCAAAGTCATAGGGCCAGGAATGATGAACTCTGAGTGGACACTGGCCCTTGGGGCCCCAAGGTCACCCTCTGGTGCAGTAGGTTATACTGACTCGGGCTAAGGACAGAGAGGAGAGGAAGGGCATTTTCAACAAAGGGAACAGTATGAGAGGAATGTGGAGATTTGAAGAGCGTGATGAGTTCAGGGAAACTGAGGGAGATCCACATGGCTGGCCAGAAAATGCAGAAAAAGAAAGCCAGAGCGTTGAGCCAGGCTGGACTGAGTTGCTGGGAATCTCCTTTGGAGGCTCTGGGAAGCCATGAAAGGCTGTGAGCAGGGGAAGGTCAGGGTCAGCTCTGGGCGTGGAAAGCCCCTCTGGGATTTGCATGAGGGACAGGCTGGAGGAGGAGTGTGGGGTGAGGGTCCAGGAGGGAGAGAACATTAGCTGTGGGGGTCACAGGGCTGGGGCATGGCGACAGACAGGAACATTTACCATGTCCCCAGACAGCCAGGGGACAGGGTGAATGGATTTGGGGTTCTCAGGATGAGAGGTCGGAGATCAATGGTCAGGATGACAGAGTATGACAGGTAGATGTCCCTGGTCAAGGATCCCCCAATCGCGGGGTTATGGACGTCGCGGATGCCGGAGCGAAAAGCCAGAGATCAGAGACGGGGAGTCTCAGGGTGATGGGGTACTAGAAGTGGGTAGACCCTGCTCAAGGGTTAGAGGTCAAAGCTTAGGGATTCTGTTTAATAAGCTAAAGGTTCTCAGGATGAGGCTATCAAAAAAAAAGTCAAGGTCACGATGTGTGTGGGGAGCGGGAGTCGGGGTCTCGCCGCGTACCGGGCTCGTAGTGGCCATAGGTGGCGTTGCGCAGTTCCTCCCAACCCACACGCCCGTCGCGGTCCGTGTCGTACGTGTTCCAGGCCGCGCTCACCGAGTCCCGTATGTGCCGCTGCTGCGTGTGTGCGATCCAAGCGCGGAGCTCGGCCAGCGACACCCAGCCGTCCCCATCCCCTGCGCGGTCCATGCGGTCCACTATGCGCCTGCGAGTCCGGGCGGGGCACACGTCAGTCCCGGACTCCGCCCCCCCAGGAGTCCCGCCTCCACCCAGGCCCCGCCCCTGGAGCAGAGCCACGCCCCCACTCGAGACACACCCTCAGAGAGCGGTGATAGCGCGGTCCCAGAGCCGCCAGCTCAGCGAGGGGAGGCACGTGTCAACCCCAGGGCCGCGCCCAGCGCGGGGCTCCGCCCCCTCAATCCAGGCTCGGCTCCCAAAGGCTCTCACGCCCTTTCCGAGGCGCCGCGGTCCTCCACAAGCCCGGGCTGGGGGAAGGACCTACGACAATCCAGGGTCACACCCTCCACTCCAACTCTGCCCCTAGACCCTCACTTGCTCCATCTGTTTGTCCGAGTCGGGGTGGGGTGAGGGAG